CGTTAAAATTTACCGTTATCCAAAATTAGTTTTTTTTTTTCAAATTTTTGAAATCGTTTTTCTTCTTGACCTGAGGTTGACCTCAAGTTGCAAAAATCTGAGAGCAGTTTTTAAAATCTAGCAGTTATTAAATATTTCATTTCGTGAGAAAACCATTTTTTCCACCTCCACCCCCCTCTCAAGTTATCGCAACTCAAAAAAAGAGAGTTAACGGTAAATATCATGCCATTAAAACATAATTATTTTTCTTAACTCACGTGAAAAAACTTTATGTTAAAGCCTCATTAAATTTTTTTTATTTTATTTCAAAGTTTTCACACATAGTTGATAGAGTATTACAGTCACATAGCATAGAAAGATTATAATAAATCCATTGAGAATAACTACATATCAGTTAATCTTCTTCAATTGTAAAGTCAATAAGTAACATCCTAAATAAATAAATTATAGAAAAAAAATAAAACCCCTATTAAAATAAAGTTGAAAAATAAGTTACTTTTTCTCAAGGTAAGTCATTGTCGCACATTAAAGACTAGAAGATGTTTCAATTGGAATTTGTTTAGATCTTATCAACATACATAACGCGTTCATATCCACCTACAGAACTTTCAATTCAAATTAATACGTTTATTACCCAATTTATTACCGACCGTATTGTGTATACAATAGGTAGATTATGTGATGGCAACAAATTTTGCATATCGAGTTTTCGGCGAGAATGCACTTCTCCATAGTAGGGAAGTGTAAATAAACTATTTTTAGCAAGCTGTCGGTCTGTCGGTCTGTATGTGCTCGCGTGTATCTTAAGTTCTGCTGAACCGATTTTGATGAAATTTTATATGTAAGTTTATTTTCACCAATGCACGGATTGATCAACTTTTGGGATATATCAGGCCTCGGGAACTGCACTTTTTAGCGGGCTTGTTTTACATTTTTGAACATTTTGAAGAAAATATTCAACCGATTTTCTTGACATTTTATTCATACATATATAAGCTTTGCTCGACCGCCCGCAAAAAATCCTAACTTTTGGAAGAAATCAGGCATCAGTAACTTTACGTTTACTACGGGCCACATATACATTTTTGCGTATATAAAGAGAAATAATCAACCGATTTCATTGAAATTTAATATTTGAATTGCTCGTATTGAAACAATGAACATATAAATTTTTTTGAAAAAATCAGGGCTCGAAAACTGATCTGCGGGCCGATTTTACATTTTTCGCTATATCTACGGCACGAATTGATGGAATTTCTTGAAATTTGATATTTGAGTTCTGGTTGTTACCGAAACTAACTGGTGAGCATTTCAGGGAATTCGGGTAGCACAAAGCGAAACTCTACTAATAGCCAAATTTACATTTTTCTAGGTATGTTAACTATAAGCTTACTAATGTCCTAAAAATTGGAAAGAAGTATATAACAGACATTTTTATAATATTTTGTAAAACTTTCACTTAACTAGACAATGCACATTGCGGTCGGTTATGTGCTGACCACATCAGATTTTTTTATAGATACATACATATATCCTGAAATAAATTTCATTTATAAAATATACTTGCAAATGTAATTGATTTACGAGAATTTTGTCGGGCGTTGTATACGTTTAGAATTTTTATCAACGTATTAAATTATTCAACAAGTATAAATGTAAGTACGGAAAAAATTTTCTTTTTCAAAGAAGTTTTACTTTTAAAATCCGTTGAATTATTTACGTCTAAAAAAAATGTAAAAATTTTTCAATAAATTTTTTTTTTAATTTCTTTTCCAAGGTAAATGAAATTTTAAATTAATATTAATATTATTTCAGTTTCAACAAGATGTAGCATGGTGAGGAAGATAAAATCAAAATTGCAGATTCTTGATTTTATATATATATTAATTTATGGAATTACATAACCATACATACTTATTTGAATTTAAATATTTTTAAATTTATTTATAAAGAAGCATACATAAAATAAAGCTATTAAACTAAACTATTTATAAAATTAATATAAGATCTAATAAAAACAAACTTAGAAATAAATAGAATCAGTACTATGTTACAATAGTAGTACATAATCTTCTTTTAAAAATACCTATTTCTTGAATTTTAATTAGGCGAAAATTAGGTACTTCTATTTAAATTCCTGATTTTTGAAACATACGAGTATAGCACATTCAAAGATATACGCAATAAACTAATTGGCGGTACTAAATTCTTTTAAGTACTTAATTATTTGAGACATAAATACAACAAGCACACTATTATATACATATTATATCATATATTATCATACATACATATTGACATACATATTACATTTTTGTTTTAATTGTTGTAATATGCACATACATAAGTTTGACATCCAAATCGTCTCAAAACAAACTTTTATACTAATGCAAATTATTTTATGTTACCTAAACAATACATTATAAAAACAAGTAAAAACGTTTCAGCCAGTTTAAACAGATCGAATTATACCCTGCACGTTAACAATCTTAGTCTAAGAAATTGTTTTTAAATTATTTAGAATTAGCTGTCATTGTTGTACACCAATTGCTAGAACTTGTCAAACCACTCAATAGAAACTTCACGAATGTTTTTGACCTATAATTGGACAAACAACTACCAAGTTTCATAAATCTAACCTTATTACTTTTTCGAATATTTTAAATTTGTTTTTGAAGTTTTATGGCAGCTACTCGAACCTGTCCAGCGATTCCGCCAAAACTTCAGGAATATAAGAGTCCTATAATTGAACACATGACTGCAAAGTTTTTTAATTTGATTTTATTATTTTTGATTTTATTGATTTAATTTGATTTTACGGAACTTGTCAAGCCATTCTCGCCAAAACTTCAGAAATATTTAAGGCCTATAATTGGACACACGACTGTCTATCTAGTTATATGAATCTAGCTTTATTATTTTTCCAAATATTTAAAAATAGTCTTTGGACTAGCATGGCAGCAAACCTGTGCAACCATTAAAATTTTCAGAACATATGTAAAGTGTAGCTGGACACATCTCTGCAAAACGTGATTATAATATCTCTTTTTGTTTTTAAAATATTTAAAAAAACCTTTTTTAGTTTTATGGCAGCTACCTGAATCCGTTGTCCGAATTGGTTTAATTACAATAACAGCCGTCCTTAGCAGAAAAGAAATAACTTGTAAAAGTATGGTGTCGATTGCATTATCCGTTTTTGAGTTATCGTGCGATCGGACGGAAGGACTGACGGAAACGTCTAAATCAACGCAGAATTTTACGCTGAGCAAGAATACATATACATGCCCACACCGGAGACGACTCGTTCAAGTGGTTACAAACTCCATACCCAAGTTAATATACCCTTCACGAAGCTACAGAGTATAAAAAAAAGGTTTTAAAAACAGAAAAAGCAGAAAAATGAACAACCAAAAAATCTAAGCAAAATTTTCATTTTACACATTCCAAGGTAATATTCAAACCATGTTTCTTTACCTCAAAAACTAATAAATTTAGTGTTGCGAAAGCTTTAAAACTGTTTAAATTCAAACATATATTTATTAAAATTTATTTGGCATTGGTAATATACACTATTATTATGAAACATGGTTTGAATATTACCTAATACTTTCCAATTTTTAATTCAATTCAATGGAGTAATGAAATTTTATTTAGTAATATAAATCAACCAAATACCTTGTCCGTACAAAATTCTGAATAATGTACTCGTACATTACCCTATATAACAAAATGTAATGCAGAAATTGCCAGTACGTAGTTTTTCGGTAGCTATACCATTGCATAAATGCACTTTTTAAACCAATAAAATGAAACTTGTCATTTTTTTTTAAATATATTTTAAGTTTATTTTAAAATATACATATTTATGTATGTATGTACTTGTGTATATAAAATAATTTTTTTTTGTAATTTTTAAATATTTTATTACATAAAAAACAAGTTCAAATTTTAATTAAAAAATAAATATAATTGATTAAAACCAGAAAAAATAAAACCAGCAGATTCAACTATGTTATACCAGTACGCTATTTTCTAAGGGTTATATGATACTTGACAAGAGTTTTAATTTTTCTTGAAAGAAGGAGATTCGTTCGGGCGAATCTAATTTTGTAAAATGAAAATAAACAACATAACATGTACGAATCTATGTTCGAAGGGTATACTAAATTTCCCTTACCGTTTTTAACTCTAAGAAATAATGGTCTGTGATATGGACATTAGGATATGTTTTTGATCAGGGTCGTTTTTGGTTCTAGCTATGTCTATGCGTCTCTGCCTTCGTCCGTCCGTCGGTCCATCCCAACGATAACTCAACAAATAATTGAGATGAGTTCTCCAAGTTTAGTAGCAAAAATGATTTATTATAGTAAACGCCAGAGTGTTATTAAAATTGAATATGATTGAGGTACCGGTACGGTTAGTTGCCATACAATTCTCAAATTTATTTGACTATATCTCAGAAACTATAGAAACTGTGAAATTGAAAAGAGTCAATTTGTTTAATAAAAGTCGTTAAAATTATTTGGCTCCTTCTGGTAGATCACAACTTGAAAAGTTATTTGGCTATATTTTAAAAGCTGTTCAACCTACAGTGTCGAATTTTGCAAAAACAAATGTAGTAAAATTGCAGCTATGTTAATTAAAAGTAATTGAGATCTGTGATAGCTGCCATAGAGTTATTTGGAAATATCTCAGAAATTATTCAGAGAAATCATTTGTTTGTACGAATATCACAGAGTTGACAAGGTCAACTGTATCTATTCTCGTTTTTTTTTATAAAATTGTCTGATGTTGAAAACCGCCAGACCACGTGAAATTCAACATGTTCAAAAAATGTTTTTTTTTATTAATTCTTAAAATTGACAAATTGAACATAGTTGACGAATTCTTCAATAACATGAAAAACATTTCAATTGGGTGTTCAATTTAAATTGAACGAAAATTCTAAAAAAGTTTTTAACTTTTTTAAAAAGATTTTATAATACGGAAAATAGACTTACCGATCTTCCACCAACAATTCTAGCACTTTGTGATCTAGTTGCAGGTCTTCTTCTTCTGTATCCGGGCGTTCCGTTTTCTGGTGTTCCGCTGCCAGATGGACCAAAACTTTGTATGGCAGCTTCCATACCACCCGAACCAGTTGCACATATTGATGCGCTACGTGAAGTTTTTACGTGCGGCCTAATTGGTGATATATCACCCATGTTTTATTATATAATTTATACCCTATGGCGACTTATAAAAAATGTAAGCAAAAATCTTTTGTATTTGTAGTAAATTTTGCTTTTTTTTAAATTATTCAAGATTCAAAGATCCAAATTAAACATCAACACTAATAAAAAACAAAGACTAATTGCAAAATAACATATAGCAATTTAAAAAATGTTAATAAAGAAATTTGAGAGAAAACAAAAATTGTTTTCTATTGGCACATTGAGAAACCTTTAAAGAAATACCCGTGAATATTTTTGCCGAGAGTTTTCTATCCGCAATATTATTACGTTGAAGTTAATTTTATTATTTGCAAGGTAATTAAACTTCCACAAGTTTTTTTATTACTGAAATAAAGTAGGATACTTTGTGATAATTCTCTCTTTTACATCTCCCATGAATAATTTAGGGTGTTTATCTGAAAATATAAAAAAAAAAAAATTAATTTGAAAATTTTGTTATGAGAATCATGAAAAATAAATTTCTGCAAACGCATGGAAATGCTTGCTATGACACATTCATAACTCTATTCATTAACTCAATGAGGAACCTTATAGTAATGTCATAGTTTTGGCAAATGGTACTTGCTATCCGAAAAACGCCATGAGGTAATTTAAAATGTTAGAACCATAGTGAGTTTCTCGGTTTTTAGCATTTTTACAAAAAAAAATTGAAAATAAGTGCTTATTAGTCTCTCGCGTTCCGTAAAAGAAAATTTTTAAAAACGCCATTTTTTAAATACATATTAATTGCAGCGAAACCATAAATAGTTTTCAAATTTTACAAACGCAGAAAAATAGTGGCTGGTTTCAACCTTTTCCAAATTTCTATAAATGCAAAAATTTAACGGTAAATGTCAATGCCATCAAAAAATATGATTCCGTATCTTGACATGCCCAAAAAATTTGAAAATTAACTTTTTTATTACCCTGAATTTGAACATAAATAAAAAGTAATTTGAACTATAGTAAAAGTTCAGTTACTGGAACCTTAATTCTCTAAAAAGTTAGACTTCTTGTGCTGTCAGACAAATATTATATAAAAAATTTCACGTTAATCTGGTGAATGTCTTCTAAAAAGTTATGAAAAATGTAAAATCGGCCCGTAGTGAAGATATATTTTATCAAACCCGACAAATTCTATAAGCCAAACTCAGTTATAACTTTCGTACTATGAAGAAATGTACTTTCACCAAAAACTCGACTCACGAAATTTGATGCCATCAAATTACCTCACTTATTTGTTGCGATGAGGTCAGAAATAATGAACGCTTTTTGCTTTGAAAGAAATCAGCAATAAACTAAAAATCAATAATAATGTGTTCAATTCATACACTTGTTGGCACACATTCTTTCCTTATTTTTCCTATTTCATTTTTACACCGTATTGTGTATACAATAGGTAGGTCATGTGATGGCAACAAATTTTGCATATCGAGTTTTCGGTGGGAATGCACTTCTCCATAGTAGGGAAGAATAAATAAACTATTTTTAGCAACCTGTCGGTCTGTCTGTTTGTCGGTCTGTCGGTCTGTCTGTCTGTCGGTCTGTGTGTGCATGCGTGTATCTCAAGTTCGGCTGAACCGATTTTGATGAAATTTTGTATGTAAGTTTATTTCCATCATGGCACGGATTGATCAACTTTTGGGATATATCAGGCCTCGGGAACTGCACTTTTTAGCGGGCCTGTTTTACATTTTTGAACATTTTCAAGAAAATATTCAACCGATTATCTTGAAATTTCATATATAAGCTGTGCTCGACCGTCTGCAAAAATTCCTGACTTTTGGAAGAAATCAGGCATCAGCAACTGGGCGTTTACTACGGGCCAAATATACATTTTTGTGTATATAAAGCGAAATAATCAACCGATTTCATTGAAATTCAATATTTAAATTCTTCTTATTGAAACAATGAACATATATATTTTTTTGGAAAGAGTAGGGCTCGAAAACTGATCTGCGGGAAAATTTTACATTTTTCACTATATCTACGAAACGAATTGATGGAATTTCTTGAAATTTGATATTTGAGTTCTGGTTGTTACCGAAACTAACAGGCGAGCATTTCAGGGAATTCGGGTAGCACAAAGCGAAACTCTACTAAGAGCAAAATTTACACTTTTCTAGATATGTTAGCTAATCTTACTAATGTCCTAAAAATTGGAAAAAAGTATTTAACAGACATTATTATAATATTCTGTAACACTTTCACTTAACTAGACAATACACATTGCGGTCGGTTATGTGCTGACCATATCAGATTTTTTTTGTTTCCCATGCTTTAATTTTTTTAATGGTAAATTTCCTTAAACTTTTGTGCATTTTTTATCTTTCATACAAACATTTTTTAAAAATTTGGTATTTAAATTTTAATTTAACTCTGTCCGTCCGTCTGTCCCGCCGTCCGTCCGTGCACATGTTTAAAAAATTCTACAGCCTAGAAGATAGAGAGCTGAAAATTCATATATACGAAGATCTTTACTAGAAACTTATTTCCGTAGAAGAAAATATCTCTTTCCTCCCTACTAAAAGTTATAGCCTCCTAAAACCGTAACAATAGCATTTTTCAACTGTTTATTGCAGCGAAATCAGTTCTCAAATTTTGCAAACGTAGAAGAGTATCGGTTTTTTTGATATAATGTTTATTCTAGACTTCAGGTTGTAGGAGTCTGAAATGATAAGACAATAATTAGTTCATTTCGTTAGAAGAAAATTTTTTTCATCCTCCGCTCCCTCTTAAGTTATCGCCTCTTGTAATTTGTAATATTTCAATTTTTCCTAAACCTTCTATTCTCGAAACTGTAAGCTTTTCCAAATTTCTATAAATGCAGGAAGCTAATGGTAAATGCCATGCCATAAAAAATACATTTATTTTTCTTAAGTCATGCAAATAACTCTTAAATTCGAGTAACGTATTATGTTACGCCTCTTTAAATACTTTTTTGTTTTATTTCAAGGATTGCATACCGTTCCCATCCTAAACGTATGAATGAAAATAATTTTAATAATGTAGTACATAGCAAAATTGTTCTTAAAAGCAGTATTTCAACTTGGCGAAGGGAAAAGTATTACAAAACCATTAGTTTGGCAAACTTTATTTTTTTTAGTGGTAAATTAATCACTCCTGTAAGATTTACACGTTTTTAGCAAAAATTAATTTATCATTGTATAATAAAATTTATTCATTTTATATGCCCAAAAATCTAAATAAATTGACACTTAATTTCTTTCAAAAATTAGATTTCTTGTAGGTTATGTATAAATTTTGGAGTTAACCTGTTCTACATTTTCCTAAAAATGATCAAAAATATAAAATCGGCTCGTAAAAGGACCTAACGTATCTCAAAATTTCATGAATCGGCATAACCATAAAATACCATTACAAGCTTAATAATAATCACCTAATAAACAGAAATGCGATAAATTTTAAAAATTACTTAAATTGATTTTAAAGAAATCTAAGTCCCTTTTCGACAAAGTTTACATTCCATAAAAGCTACTTGAAGTTGCAAATTTTTTTATTATTTTCAGTAATGAGAGTCTACAGGCACTTGTTTAAAAAAAAAAATAAATTTCCCTTGGAATATTTACAATATAAGGGAAAATAATTCCTAAGCATATTTTTAACTTTGCCTTTATTGCATAGATGTAAAAATACTTTTAACTTTACCTTTGATAACATTCAGAAAATTAAATTACCGTTGCGGTAAACCTTTACCAAATGAATACTTTTCTTTAGAATTTTGTTTAACCTAATTTTCCTATTTCAAACAAATCGGTACACAAATAAATAAAAGAATTAACTTTTTGATGCTTCCAACAAGCTGCTCATGTATGAAATTACAAACGATTTTTCCGAAAATAATAAATGCAAATATTAGAAGCAAAACACATCCTTTTCTCCAAAATTAACTCATCTTTAATCAATAGAATGAACCGAACATTTTTCATAACCCGAAAAATAAAAAAAATAGAAAAAGAAATGAAGTTACTAAAATAATGAAAGTTCTTTGTAATGTAAAAGGGAAAAAAAATATATTTTTCTCTTATATTTTTCTAACCTTTCATTTTTCAATGAAGAAATTTCACTTTTTTAATACTCCTTAAGAGTTTAAACCTTTCCTCATAAAATAAAAAGGATAAGAAAAACGAATTAAAAATTATTTTACCCAATTTTCTTTAAATACGTAACCAAAGTATGGTACAATAAAATAAAGGTCACATATAAGATTACTCAACAAGACGACAAGTTAGATGTGTTAAAATATCTTCATTTTGTTTAACAACACTGTTATAATTTAAGTTTCATTTTTCCTTAAATGAAAATTCTTAAGTCCGTTGTTAACAATAAAAAATTTGTATTTGAAAAAGATTGGAAATGGTAAATGTTGAAAAATATAGCAGCAAACTATTTACAACTTTTTCTAATTTCTGATGCAAAAACAAATTTTGATTCGATAAATATTGATAAAAAAACTTCACTGCAATGTTTTCACAGCAAAGATAGACTTTACAAGTACACACATATATACACCATGAATCTCACAATAACTTTATTTTTGATCTCATGCTTTATGACGGAATTTTATATAACAATTGAAATACTCGTATTTCACAAATTTCACTTTAAGATAGCATGAAAATTACAGTTATTTTACAAGTTTAATTTATTAAGTTATTTTACAGTTAATTCATGAAAACAAATTTTAACATACATCTTGAATCAAATTCCATTGTTATATTAGATTTTGAAAATCAAAAAAATCAGAATGAATTTTTTCAAAAAGAGCTCCACACCATATTGAATGTATAAGAAGCACAATTTTTTAAAAGATTTTTTTTAGATTTTCTTTTATTTACTATTTTTTCACTTTTTAGCACTTTTCAAAAAAAAATGAAAAAAGAAATGTTTATTAGTTCACTATGTCCATATGAATTTTCATTTCAAATGAAACTTATTCCCGTAGAAGAAAATTTTTATCTATCTCCTCCCTCCTCCCTCCTTTAAGAGTTATAGCCATTAAGACCTTAAAAATGCCAAATTTAATTATTTTTGAAGCGAAAAAGTAAGCATTTTTCAAATTTTCCAAAAACGGAAAAGTCGACGCTGGGTTCTTCCACTGCGGCGCATCATATTGCAACTTTACAAAAACAAACTGGCCGTAAAAATTTCCCGTTATCTAAAATTCGTTTTTTTTTTAATATCTTCTTGATTTCGTTTTCTTCTAAACAGCAGCTAATAAATAGCTAATGACAACGACACTAATAAATACTTTATTTCAGTAGAAGCAAATTTCCCCCTCCACCTCCTCTTAAGTTACCGTTTCTTGAAAATTGTAAAATTTGAACTATTTTTAGCAACCTGTCGGTCCGTCGGTTTGTCGGTCCGTCGGTCTGTCGGTCTGTGTGTGGACGCG